GGTGGTAAAACCATCTCTTTGGTAAAGGATAATTGAACTTTATAATTCGTATATTCTTGTATAATATAAATGAGTTATCCTAATATCTGAGATTTAATCTGGATTTCCACCTTGTGTCCCGGGGTTGTTTAAAAGCAGGGTTGCCTTTGATTTAGATTTTTTGTTTTGGATTGTCCCCAAAACTTTTAATAGGTAAATTAACAAAAATTTTGAAAACAAACGAACCAGTGTTATTTTTTCATTCTATTAATTCATTTTAACCAAGTTTATATCAGATAGATAAGCATTACAAGAATATTCTGATTGGTGTTTCAGGGGAAAATTGAGGTTTTTGTTCTAAATATTTAAATATTCGCACATCGCAAATCACCAGCCTTCTATGAATTGTATCCTTCTATGAATTCGTTTTATATTTGTTTTATCTAACTTTTATAATTTGCTCCATATCATAGTTTAACGACTCGTTTGCACTCATTTGATATAATTACATGTCACAAATGCGTAGTTAGATCTCTGAATTCGTTTGAACTTTGTTCTAAAGTGATAAGACATTACCAAGTGAAAAGAAAATGACCGATAAATAAGGAAATCAAATAAACGACTTCATTATTATAGTATTATCTTATACAAATAATTATCCTCAGATTGTGATTCTGGTTCAAACTGCTTTTCTTTGTAAAGGGACACCGAGATATGCGGAAATTTAAAGATAACTGAATTGTTGTGACCTCTTGTTTGACCCCGGGATAAAGAAATACAATGTTGAATATACCTATTTAAGTATACTTGATTTTAGCAACCTTTATTTTCCCCAGTAAATAAATATGAGGAGTTTTTGAATGCGATCGTCAAGTTTTGTTAAGGGTCCATTTAATATGCAAGTTTCTTAATTGCAATCTTTACACCAAAATTTTTTTGAATAGCTTTCTCTTAAAATAGCTTCAATTAGAGTGAATTTTAAAAATTCTTATCCTTTGCTAAAGAGCCTAACAGTTAGCTAGTAAAACATTATTTTTTTTAGTAAAATCTTTACAAAAAATCGGATTCAATGTGCATTTGTGCAAGTCATTTTCGGCCATCCATTGGTGATTTAGAGTTTTTTTATTTGTAAACATTTATTTTTGCCAATTAAAATTGTACAGGAAAACAATCAACCAAGTTGAATTAAACATTTCCAATTTTAAGAAAAAACATTGCTTTTATCTTTCCTTGGAATTCTGCTAGTCCAAAATATTTGCAGAAAATCGCCTAATTATTTCGAAAATCCAAATACAATTTTTATATTTCACTTATCCCTTATCTCTGACGAACGTGAATCTTCGCATTTATTTACAAATAAACAAAATGACGAAAAATCACTCAATAATATTATCTTTTTGTTGTGATTATTTTTTTTGGACACGAGCTGCGAATTGATTTTAACTTTTTTTTTGAGAGGTCATTGAGATAAAACAGATCGAACACATGTTTTTTTGTTGACATGGATATGTGATAAATATTTTGGTAAATTGGGTCAACATACTGGATAATTCAAACAGGACTATAAAGTTTCTAACTTCTTGAGCCAAATATACAAATTAAATTTTTTTAGAATAATATATACCTTCACGAAATAAATTTGTAGAATAATTAATTGTGTTGACTAGATTTATATCCACTTTCTATTTTTACTAATTTCATTACAAATGTTAACTGCATTTCTAAGAATATGAAATCTGATACAAAATTTGCATTTTTTAGAGATGATAAAATATTTCTGAGTACGAGGTTACCTTCATATTTTATGAATCGATTATTATTTTTTGCTAAATTCTTTCATAATTTATTTTGAACCAATTTTAAATCAAGTGTATGTCGAATGTTTATTATCAATACACGTGCTCCAATATTTCTGTTTACGTTCGTATTTTTTTTCTTTTGCAAAAATCGGTCATTTGTAATCGCAACTAATTAGCAAAATGCGCAGATATTTGATATCGTTAAATTATTTAGAAATACAACTTCAAATTGCGTCATACAGTTATTATGAACAAATAACTTAGTTTAAATCCAACCAAGAAAATTATACTACCAGATACATCTTAGCTGTTATCTTATGTAATTTTATCACATGCAATGTTTTTTTTTTATTTTAAGTAATTATTTTTAATACATAAGCTTGTTGTTCTAAGCACAAGTTTTAGGTTCCATTAACGTCTTGGACAGCTTGATATCAAACTTTGAAAATAATCGATCTGAATACGATTTTAAGTAATACACTTTAAATAAGTTTAATAAGCAAAATCTGGTAA